TTTTTTTTATTATTTGCATTCTTTTTAAATGTACAGGAGTGTGGGGTGTCCATAAAAAATTCCCTCAGGGGACAATAAAATCTTATCTTATATAGACAGGCACTTGATGCCGGACTCAAACCCGGAGTTCGGGAGCTGTGAGGTTACAGTAGCAACTACCATGCTACAATGCCACCTAGTATAAAAACCTTTAATTGTATGTAAAATCCAATTTTAAAAACATTTGATTCATTACAATATATAACAGTTTAGGATTTTTTGCACGAATATATCCATTTTTTTTACAAAAAGAACAAAAACTCTTTTGTGGGTTCTGAGTCTGCATTGGTCATTTCCTCTGTCATGTATTGTTCGGCATGAAATCAGAAACAGAAAACAACAAAAATACGTTTTAGGGTTTCAGAAAAGTTTGAATCTAGAAATTTTCCAGAGGATGTTTCACTGTCTAATGCTATTTTATTACTGCCTCCTTTGCAGGAAACAGGTGTCATACAGTATACAGTTCTTTTCCTGGTCTCGGCTAGCCAGTTATGTTGACTAGTTTAGAGCTGTGATGGAGCACTTTGTTGTTATCTATATTTTTCATGAGTGTATATCTTTCTGGAACATTGAAGCTCCTGTTTAGCCAACAGGGGTGGATTTTATCTTCTTGATAGAGTAACGGGTTTTCTGAATGAAATCAATTCTGAAGTTGTTTTCTGTCGAAGGTCTTGTTAAAACATTGTGTAATAATTGCAGTTGTACAGGTTATTCATGTAAAATAACCTACTGCCGTGCCCGCTCATTCTTTTTTCATAGCGACTCATGAAAGACTTTCAAATTAGTTAGACCTCTTTGCAGGGAAGCCAAAAAAAAGAATATTGAACGTGTCTTCACTCTGCATTTTATGGAAGTGTTCCTGCTTCAAGAGAAAATTGAATTTTTGTCAACCACCACCATTTGACTTATATTTTCAAAGCAGCAGAATTCTAGAAATCCACACAATTTGGTGTAAGCACCACCTGCCTTATTTATGAAGAGCTGTCAGATACCGACAGACGAACAGTAAAAACATACTTGAGTAGTTTGCTAAGGATTTCTAAATTTGCAACCGTACAGTTATTATTGTTAAAAGTGTCCAGATACTGCCTAGTCATGGACCACAGAATGGTCAGTTTTTTTAGTCTTGTGGATTATACCACGGCTGTCTTTATTGCTGGTGCACACATTGAGAAAAACAAGCAAGCATCTACTAACTTTTGGTAAATTGCAATTAGGGTAGGAACAGAAGTTTAGACTCATAGTTGTGATTTTGATCTTGTTGGAGCAGAAATGTCCTCATGTTTATATTCCTAGTTGAATTGTTGGGATTCCGTTTGGATTTTTATTTTTTCAGATTTCCAACTTGCAGAATTCACAGTGCTCATTGAAGAACTGTGTGCAGAGCAGTAGTACTATGCCTTTGTGAGTCACAAGAATGTCACCCTGGAATGGATAGCCCCTGTGAATGTTAAGAATACAATTCAGCTGTAAATGGTTTTCTATGCGAGCACATCTACAAAATGAAAAAAATACACACAGTGTATTCAGGCTTGTGCTGTGCTTAAAACTTGTTTAAAATTCATTACCTGACTGAAGGACCTTGGACCACAGGGACAAATATATTTATTCTGAAATCATACGAGTCACTTATTGCACACCGAGGCCAGTCAAACAATTGTGCGATTTATCTTTTGCAACTGGATAAATTTAGGTTTTCCTTTGCAAAGGAGGTGAATACATATTCAATCAACATATTTTAGCTTTTGATTTTTCTGTGTAGGTTTTGCTGATAATTTAACTCCTTTCACCCATACAGTACATTGTCAAAAGTGACTTACATCATTCATAATTCATCAAAACGAGACATCAGCACAAGTGTATTCATACTTTTGGAAGGCATTGTGCGGTCACATTTCTTCTAATTAATAATCAAATGTGATTTCCTGACAAGGTGACATTTCATTTCTTTCACCCTTGAAAGTGTTTGGGTTGAGCATTCACGTCTTGATGAGACATATCCCGACGTCATTTACAAATCATTTGTAATTCAACACAATGGGACATCATTGAAAATGGGGTGGATGTGTTTGCAAAGCGCTGCATACTTAAAGATGAAATTTTTAGAAAATGAAAAGACGGATTGCTTCCACAGTCCTAACTACAGCCATACATATATAAGAATTGACACTGTTCCTTTGTTGCAAACATGTAACATTATTATACTATTCAATAAACACAGCACTGAAATTAGCAGACAGAGGGACTATCTGAGTAAACCGAGAATAAAACATGACATTAAACAAAACTGCTGGTAATACAGTAAGTCCTAAAATGAAATGTTGGAAGTAAACTGGTGAATGGCTTGGGCTTTCCCCCAGCTGTGATGCAAAACCTGTACTTTGTTTTATACCAGTTTTTTTTTTTTCATTTTTAAAATTCAGTGCGTGAATACACTGGGCATATCCCATACCTATCCCGCTGTCTGAGAGATGGCTCTCAGCCGTTCATTTTCAATTGCTGAACTCGCCTATTTAGAAGCAGGAGATTCTGAATCAGCTGCAGACTCCATTGTAACCATGTACACGGCAGTAGAGCATTCAAATGTTTATCCTGTAAAGCAAGCAGGTACTGCTGGTGACGGTATACAAATATCGTATACTGTATACAACTAATTTGTATTGCACACAAATAAGCAGTGGGCAGAAGTAGCAGGCCTGCACGGTAACTTGACACTGCGGAGAAGACGAGTTCTTGGTGACTACTGGAGTTATAGCTTTAGAAACGACACAAACGCAATGCAAGAGTGCTTCTCCTTTACAATAAAACGTGAAACAAATTCAATCATTAATATGGAGAAATGGGGTGGCGTGGTGGCGCCATAGTTAGCATTGCACCCTCACAGCACTGGGGTCCTGGGTTCAGTTGCTGGGGTGCTGTCTGTATGTTCATGTGCTCCAGTTCCCTCCTACAGTCCAAAGGCGGGCTGGTAGGCGAATTGGCTTCTGGGAAAACTGGCCCTGGTGTGAGTGTCTCTGTGGGTGCGCAGCTCATTGTGCCCATTACTTGCCAGCCGCCCGACAACCCTCTGGACAGTAAGGTTAGAGAATGGATTTATGGATATGGAGAACTAAATGCTTGTAGGGTACTGCTCAGATTCACTGTTGTGACGTTATACAGAACCTGGGAAACAGAGAAAGTCTCGGATGAAACATTGACCCGCACTGAATGAGACTCGGGTTAAAAGGTACTGTATATGAACTACTGAAGCAAAAATGTTTTCCAGCCACATTCACGGTTCAAGCTGTTACAGTCTTATTTGTAGATTTCAAGGCTGTGGTGCCTTTATTTCAAAATATGTGACTGACCACACTATACTGTACACATGCTCACAGTTGCAGACTGGCCCTCAGGTATCAATGACAACATTACTCACTGGTATGTTAAGTACCAGATCATTACTTATTCTATCCATGTCCATTATAGCTCTTTATGATTTCTTCTACACAAACTCATTCCAGCGAGTACACACTAGGAGGTTCGAGTAAATGAAGTAACAGGATGTGTAATAGCATAGAAACAAGCTAAAACTCTATCTTTGTGATGCAGGAATGCTGAGTGAACTGATATCAGTGGAGCTTTTAGCAGGTGGAGTTATTTAATTACCAGCCTAACCAAGGTCAGGCCAACGAAGGTTTTAGTTTGTGTAACCACACAACACACATGTAAGTTGTGGAGTGTTTTCTGTGTTTTCCGAAATTTGGCTTACATTATAAATGAGGGAAACAAGACAAGCTGAAATATTATACCATTATTATATTATGAATTTCAAAGTGGGCAAACTTTCTGGAAGCTGACCATTACTGTGGACTCAGAGCATTTTGTTCACAGTGGGGAACTGGTCTTAGTTGCAAGATTCTTGTGCCGTTATAGTACTCAGACATCTGTCCTCTGATTACCTTTAGGTAAAACAGGTGCAAAAGGCATGGATTAATTACAATGGCCTGACTTATTTTGTTTTTTTCTGTTAAACAGATGGCGCTCGAGTGCAAATGCAGAATACGGATACTAATTACAAGTATGGGTTAATGGAACTATAGAATGTTAAAAAGGAAAAACATTTTGGACTCATCAGCTATGTGGAGAAGGTAGGGAGAGACCAGAAATAGGCTACAAATGAGTAAAGAGAGGAAGACATTTATATGTACAAAACTGAGAGGCAGCATACATGCAACAAATAAGTATTGAGACCCACTTTAATGCATGCCAATATACTGGTGTTGCAAATCATATTGAAAATGTACAATATTAAGCATCGTCAAAATGTTCCCTAAGAATTATGTTAATTCTACAGCTCATATCTGAAGAATTTCCATGGATTTTCAAATTATTGTTGACAGAATGAATTGAGCACCACAAATCCATTTAGTATATGGGATGCTAAAATAGTTACAAGAGTAAATAAGGAGGACACCACAGTGCAATACAGTTTTTCATAATCGGACAATAAAACATTTGGAGTAGCTCACAGAGATTGATCGTTTGACTTTATGTACTTGAATGTGAGAAAATGAATGCCATTTATTTCCCCCCACACAGGAAGTCTTTTGTGTTCCTATCTCTCACTAGCTGATTGCAGTGGTAGCGTAACTCTGATTTTTCCTGATTACACAAGCTGAAAGGGCAGCTTTCCCATGTGTGAGCCCTAAGGGGATTTAAAGGGTTGTGTGATTACATAAATACACAAGACCAGTAGCTACACGATTCCATTCAGTTTTTTTTTTGTAGACATTAAGGTTTCGAGTAAATCTCTTTTCATGGTAATGTTGACTCCCATTCAGTTTCATCAGACCTCTAAACTCACTGCCAGTTTTTGCTTTTCTGTTCCGCACCCACTTGCAAATAATTCCCCTCCCCCTGCCTGGGAGTTTCACAAAAGAACAGGTGAGACAGATTAGGGAGTGGCCTCCAACTAACTTCAGCTTTTCCACAAAAGCGCACCTTGTCCTTCAGCGCCGGGGTCAGTCTTCTGAAGCACTAAGATCTGTGGAGATACCTCTTTTTCTTTAAAATCTCTCTTCACCCAAAAAAAGCAGTCATGAAAGGGGGCATGCAATGCATTAAATACCTGATGTTTGCCTTTAATTTTCTATTCTGGGTAAGTTTTTAGTTTCTTGGATTCTGAATGTGTTTTGTGACTGTAAGAGCTAAGCCTGTGGGGGTTATTCTCTGCAACCTTTTTTTTCTCCCCTCGAGTAGGATTTACAGTAGGTTTCATAGAGGCAGACCTTTTTGGTCCAAGTACGCCTCCAAATATTAAGCACAGAGGTGGTTTTCCTAAAGTGAAATGTTAAAGCTTGTTGGCAGAGATGAAGAACTCCAAAATGGAATAAACAGAAATTACTTCAAACTAGTGTAATGGAAAAAAGCATTGCGCCGTGCAATAGTTATCTGAGGACCTTTTCGTTCTGTATATACAGTAGGCAAACTATTTTTTCATGTTACTTTTCAAGTTGGTTAGTTACTGATTGCTATCAAACAAGCTTTGCAGTAAAATCTTTAATGTCAAATGGAGGTTATTTTCCTACTGAAGGATTAGGGAGGGTACCTGAAGAGTTGAATGTGAGGATTGTCTTTCACAATTATTCTAGTACAGTACCTGCTGTGAAACAGTGAAACCTGCTGAGTGCTGAGCACATCACATAATAGTGTGGTCAGGGTGCGTAATTATTCTAAAGTATTCAGTGTTTTCTAGTCTTGCCTAAGAAGACGTTCATTGAGAACTATTATTTTGGTTCAAAAGCAAGCTGTTACAAATTGTAATAGCATTTTGGGTTATCTTCACGGGATATTTCTGTATATAATAGTTGTGTCAATTTATGATCATTTAAATTGTTCTGATCATTTAGGCTGGTTTTACTGGGGCAAATCGTTTGGTAATAGACTGACTTTTCAATGAATCAGTGCTCATTGTGAGAGAGAAGGAGCTACAAGGCAAAGGCTTAATATACTTTTGCTGCTTAGATGAAGACTAGAACAGTGAGAGTGAACGTGAAACATGATTCTCTGTTGTGGACTGTTAGGAAAAAATAGGAAAATTAGAAGCCATTTTAAAAAGCTTTCATGCAGGTTCCAAATTCCTTAAATAACAAGGTAGTGTAGCACGAAGGTTATTATGGAGTGAAGAGAGAGATACAATTTTAGGTCAGATTATAAAATCTATAAAACACCAACAAGTCTTCTGAAATACTCTACATAATGTGGCAATTATTTCTGGGTTTTTTTATAATTAGCTTTAGTTTTAAAGTTATTTAGTTAATGAAGGATAACTTAGTTCTATTTTTAAGTGTTCCAGTAGAATCAAGTGGAAAGTTTAGGTGAGGAAAAAGAATCACTGTATTGGTTTAGACAGGTTTACATTTTCCCTGGACTCGCTGCAGTTGGATTGTAACTGGCTAAACAAGTTTTGAAGGAGAACAAAAGAACCAAGACCATCTTGGTGTGTCCTGAAACTCTATTTGCATCACCACTAGAAATATTCCTCTTGACATTTGGAGTGAATGGGCAAAACGCCATTTGCTTTGGACCAGTTTGTGTTGTGGACCTTTTTGTTCTGAACAGGTAACAACAGGATGTGTATATTAAAGTAGTTCAAGTAAGAATCTATATCAGAATGCGTTGGCTACAAAGGAACAAGTAAAGGTTTATTCCATGTTGAAAAGAGAAGAAAAGCGACAACATTTTGGCTGTGAAGCCTTCTTCAGGTGTGAACACACACAAGTAATGACCCTTTACTTGTTCCTTTTAAAGTATTAAAAGTATTCCAGCAATCTCAGGTGCAAGTCTGAAAACAGAAGTGCCTTGTTTGCACATATCTGATCAAATGCTGGCTAGTTATCTTGCATTACAGGAGGACTGATTAGAAACTTAAAAACTTTTAAACTAAAAATAAGATATGATCTACCCTTTTTTTCAAACTTCAGCAATACATCATTCACTGTAAAAATGAAAAACAATGAATTTCAAGGGCCTATGGCTTAAGCCCATACATGTATTTTAATGGAAATGGCAGGCATTTTGTTTAGGGACAGATGCGTGGGTAACCGTTTGGAACTGAGTGGTTTGAATTGTGATTATTGTGGTTTTTCTTAACAGATTAATTTGAATTTGCATTTACGTGGAGGTCTTTGAGAGCAAATTCAGTCTAAGGGGAAGATGTGCAAGTGGCTGGTCTTGGCTCTGATTCTATCAGTACATACTGTACAAATAACCCAGTATCATTGTTTTCATTAGTATCTATAAAAATGGAAGTAGATTTTCTATTTGTATAGTTTATGAAAAACTAATTTTATATAGTTTATTAGGAAGTGTCTGAAAAACCAGATCCCTCTTAATGAAGAGTGAGGGAAAGAATTAATGTGATACTGTACCTTCAAATTCCAAGGTCTGAATATACAGTATAAAGGAAAAAAACCCAGGAGAGTCTCTAGTTAGGTATGAAAAGTTAACATACTGTAGCCTAGAAATATTTGTAGTGCACTTTCTAGACTTTTTTGAAAAATGTCAGATTTACTTTCCTAAGCTGGTGCACAAAATATTTCTATTAAGTGGGGAGAGTAAGTAATGGCAGTGACTTCGTCAGGTGAGGCAGGCCTAGTCCTTTTCTTTAGTTTCTTAGGAATCTGGACATTTGAAAGGGCTCATATGACTCACCCAGCAACTCAATGCCAGGGTGTGTCATGAAAAACGGGCCTTTACAAATTGGTGCTAGAATTTCATTTCTTCGGCTTATTCAAATCTTGTATCTGGCTGTGGTGCTTCCTTCTCTGTTTTAAAACTTTGTAACTAGAAGTATTTTACAGACAGGTGAGGTCCAGTTTCAGAAAGCATTCACTGTACGAGTTAAGGAATCAATTGACAACAAAAGTGTAGGAAAACGGATGAGGCTGCCTACGAAAGAATTGAGGCCTGTAAATCGATACTTTCGTCGGCACAATGTGGAGAAGTGTTTAAAAATACACTGTTTAAGGTCCAAGTGTTGAAACGCGAGTTAAACGTGTGTTAAAACTGTATAGTGTAGTGATACACTATTATAGAGGCTTTACTGAGCTGGTTCAGTTAAAACTGTGACCTGGCTTCATTTGAGACAACGGTATATTGGCCCTTATCAATTAACTACAGTACTAGCAAGTTGACAAGCTTCATGGGTGAAATGACCTTCTCTCATTGGTGACCATTAAGTCCTTTCAAAAACAAAAATAGATTTCAGCTCATTGAAAGTTTGAAAGAATTTTGTACTGTATTTTTTCCTGTTCGAATTGAGTCGAGTTCACCTGCATGACCAAGGCCTATGAATTTAAAGGGGAACTGCAGTCCCAGTTTCTCAGGCTTGTTATTAAATCTCGGCAACAAATTAAATTAATTGATGAGGGTATGGCCAAATTTTTCAAATTCCAAATTGAGCACAAAATGTGAACTTTGTGAAAGTACTGTATGTTTGCAAGTTGGCACAAACCTCCGGTCTCACCATGGGTGAGAGTGAAAGTTTGCATGAATTACAACGTGACGAGGCCCTTCCTGTTCTCTAGTCACTGTACTTACTGTACTAATGTACTGGTTGTGCAGCAGACATTTCACTGCAGAAATGTTCCAACATGATCTGCTTGCAGAGTTAACAAATAAGTAGTATGTGTTGGAAAAACGTCTCGAAATTGAAAGCAAGATTTCTAATTGACTAAAAGGGATGTATCACAAGTCTGCTGGTTTATGCTGTGCATTTTACTTTTAAAATAGAAAAAAATCGCAGTGCAGTTCCCCTTTACGTGCTGGTGAAATGGGCTTTGTGAAGGCACATTCCCAGCTCATCTGTTGGCTGTATAGAAATGAAGCATATATACTGGCAGAAAAACATCTGGTGGGGTTATTTTGTGAAGCTAATATGTTGTTTAGTAGCAGCCACCCATGTGCCCAATAACATTTTTCCTTTCCTGTTACAGAGGGCACTGTTAAACTTTCCAGAAACAGGTGTTTCTACTTCAGGGGTCTGCAGAGCTACTCTCTTGAACAATTCAGTTCACTTTGTTCCTTTATGTTTAAGAGAGCTAACAGTACATCCGTTATGGAAATCTAGAAAATGAAAATCTATAAAATTGAGGCTTAGGAATGCTTGACAGCTGAACCTGTGTGCTAACGATTCCAAATATATTTCCTTAAATGATATTTAAAGTAACAAAAAAATTGAACAGCAGTATTGAGATGTACTGTAGGCGAGAGCTGGTCATCTTCTTATCAAACTTGAAGCTGTACAATTACATTTTTCAAGTCCAAGTCTGCACATACACCCCAAACTTGTTAGCTTCAGACAATCTCATTCACTTTGACATTCCTTGCCAGTGTCTCCAAGTTGTCTAGCTGCAATGCTATTTTTTGGGGGGGTTGAGATAGTTGTTTTACAGTGCAGACAACAGAGATGAGCAGCAAGACAAAAACTGTAGGAGGACTGCCACTGTAGGAGGAAGCATAATGCAACCGTGTTAAAATAATTGGCATGTAAATGCTGGTTTTGTTGTTTGTTTGTTTTTTAACCAGTTTGCTACATCCAATGTGCCTCTTGGAATACTGGATGGGATCAAGTATTGTTGAAGGAATTTTAAGAGATCTTATCCATCGGCTGGCCCTCATCTTATCCAGGGTGTGAAAATGCTTAGAAACGAATCCTGGTGTGTCTCTCTGCTTGGCTCTCAGGAGTTCCTTTCATAATGAAGGCGTTTCAAACCCACACCGAGCTGTGCTGCCACACACTGTGCTGGTCTTCGCTACCTTAGTTGCATCACCAATTGGTTAAGTCGTAGGAGTTGTTTTCAACATTTCTGCTCCATTTTTTTTAAAGCTTTCTATAAAACCTGTGGAGCTGTGGCTTTCTAGAATTGGTTTTTGTAGAATCTTGCTCTAGCCAGTACTCAGCTGAGTGATCTTGTCCCACTTTATACTGTAGTTACTGTATGAATGTATAAGTTGAGAAAACTTAAAAAGTGTCTTTTTTGCTTTCAGTAAGGTTAAAGGCAACAACCGGATTATGAAAGGCTCTGAAGTATTGGGAAAAAGGGACTGATGAACCCTGTGCCTATGGCTTTTTGTTCCCTATTTATACAACTGAAACACTGGTTGAATTACAGAACGTTTTTGATTTTTCTCTCTGAACCTTGTTCACAGGTTAAGGATGAAGCTGACTCCTTTAACCTTTTGTAACAACTTTGTGTGTGTGTGTGTGGAAGCAATTTAAAAGTGCACTAATTAGTTGGGTATCTGATTTTATCATCATTACCTTTCTTATGGATTATTATTTTTTTTAAAAAACAGGTATTTGTGGTAACTTGTAATCAGCCTGAGAGGGATTCTTGACATTTACTTTCGTTGTACTGTTGTATGTGTTGCTGTTGGTTTCTGTGAGACTTCTGTTTATTTATATTCTACAGCTTCCCAGTCACTATATATAATAACTCTCAGTGAAGTGTACAAGGGGAGAGTGTCTATTTTCCAGGCGATCGGATTGTAATCGCAGTAGTACACGGTGTATTTAGCAGATTAGTCACTTTTCTTACTAATAACTGGTATTATCTAAAAGTAAAGGATGAAGTGTTGTTGCAATAGGACTGGGTGATGCATTTCACCATTCTTTAACAAGACATGAATGCAGTTGGAGAACTGCAATGCGTCAGTGTGACGAGCTCAGAAGGTCAGCAGTGTTAACGCAGAGGGTTTTTTTGTCATCAAGTGGAATGATAAGAATTTTCTGCAGAATAGCCTTCAGTGATAAGGCCCCTTCCTAATATGTTTTGCAACAGCAACACTCTGAGGGGTTACGAACAATGTTAGTCTTGTAACCTTGAACAAATAGCTTGCACTTTGCAGAACACCTTTCAGATTTTCATTAAATATTTCTGTTGAAGATAAGCTGGGAACGTAAAAAAAAAATACTTGCCGTGAATGTTCAAGTACTGCACCGTAAATATCCCAAATCCTATTTTTGCCTAAAGCTCTCATTTTCTGGTAATTTCCTAAATGGAGAAACTTTTCTGAGAACTATAATTAGCCTTCAGTCAACTGTTCTGACCAACAATGCTTTTATTTTTAGACATTGAAAAGAGTGCTCATGCATTTTTTTTGTTCTCAGTAGTGATGTTTCCTACTTGATAGTATGATAAACATCCATCCATTTCCGAGTCATGGGGGAGCTGGAGTCCATCCCAGCAAGCAACAAGCACAAGGCAGGAAACACCCTGGGGACACCAGTCCATTGCTAGGAAACCACACACAAACATACACAATCACACCAGGGATAGTTAACCTACCAGCATGTCTTTGGGATGTGGGAGTTAACTGTAGCACCTGGAGGAAACCCACTTGAACATGGGAGAACATGCAGACTCCACACAGACGGTACCCTAGGTCCAGAATTGAGCTCAACACCCTAGCACTGCACATGCTAACCAGTGTGCCCCCATGATAAATATCAATTTTTTTTAAAAAATTATCAAACTGATTTAACTTTATACTACAAGTGTTTTGGAAGATGCGTTGTATTGGCCCAAATGTCAAAAACTGTATCAGTTTAGACAGGCTGTACAGTGCCCGCACATTTGCAACAACCATTAAGTGTTATATCAACCTTTGGGGGAGGTCTTGAAAGATTAATGGAAAGAGCACTCCATACACAGAAGTTCTCCAAGACATTTAGTCATTAATTAAAGTTGCATTCCTGTAGTAGTCTGTGGCTAGTTTCTGCAGCACAAGAAGATCCTCAATATATTGATTGTAGCAGACGGATCATAGCCTGGGTTCTTATTTAAAACAGTACTCTTTGCTTTACCTCTAGAAATCTAGGATGAACCAGACCCAAAAAACTCAGACAAACCAACATACACAAACTTCTAGTCATTTCTCCTTCCCCCCACCCCCCCAAAGATAACAATTTACTCTTAATATTCCATGCAACCCAATTTTGCGATTTGAAACCGATTTACAAAAACATGGAAGTTTGGAAAACCGACTTCAGTGGTCTAGAGTGACTAATTTGTTGCTTCCTTGGTTTCTTGCCTCTGGAGTTCTGTGTTTTATAGAGGCACTGTTGAAACCAAAACATAACCAGAGCCTTTTATGAGGAAGCCAGGCACAGGAAGTCATGGTCGTAAAGACCACTATAGTAAATTTGAGATACCCAGGTTGTGCAGAAAAGAAGTTTAAAAGTCCATATTATTTCCAAAGCCTTCTCTGTTTACAGGAAATGTAGCACTTCAGATACTAATGCACAGGGAGCTTGAAACTACAGTAGTTGCACTCCAACAGAGGCAAACTTTTTTTTGGGGCCTTCTTTTCCAGTTTGAGGCAACATGTCATGGGCAGTGAGCCCCTCAGTCCTCCGCCTTCCTGTATCACATCCTCTAAAATGGACTAATCATGTTTTCTCTTCAGCTTGCAGGAACAGCTGTGCTGGCAATCGGACTATGGCTGCGCTTTGACTCCAGAACCAAAGGCATCTTTGAGGTGGATTCCAACCCGTCGACATTCTTCACAGGTGAGAGCTGCGTGTCTGACTGCCCTGGCCTGTCAGTAGAATGGGTTGTGCTACACCCCTCACCAGAGCTTTATTTAAAAAACATTCCTCACTGTAACCTGGATATCAGGTAGTCACCTCTGTACTGTTGAATAATGATAACACTTTTTTTTCCCAATTCTGGGATCTTTAATATTAAAAACAATCTATTTCTTTATTAGTTCAGGTGGGTAGCTGCGTCAGCATGCGTAGGCTGCAAAGGAACAAGTAATAGGTTTATTCCATGCTGAAAAAAAGAAGAAAGAGAGAAAGAAAGACTGTGATACCTGAAGTAGGCTCCACGGCCGAAACGTTGTGTTCTCTTTCTTCTTTTTTTCAGCTTGGAATAAACCTATTACTTATTTCTTTATTAGTGTGGCCTGCTGTCACAGTGGTTAGAACTGCTACCTTGCAGCGCTGTAGCCCCGTGTTAAATTTTGATCCTAGGGTGCTTTCTGTGTGGAGTTTGCATGTTCTCCTCTTGCTCCACTTTCCTCCCCCAAGTCCAAAGACATACTAGTCAGTTAATCGGCACCTGGGTATAAGTGTGTGCCTGGTGACGGACTAATGTCCAGTCCAGGGTTTACCTGCCTCCTGAGATAATAGGGTTAGCTTCCCAGTGACCCTAAATTGGATGAAGCGGTTAGAAAATGGAGGGATGGATAATTTTGTCTTCTGCTGCATATACTTTGAAAAGGTGCACAAGTTGGAAATTAGATAGAAGGGAACAGGAGACATTTCTTTACCTATAGAGTTGTGGGAGTATGGAACAAGCTATCCGCCCATGTTGAAGCCGATACACTGGTTTTGTTAAAAGAAAATGGACTGGATCAATTACTCAATACCAAACAGGCTAGATGGTCTCATTTGCAACCTTTCTTAATGTCTTAAAATAAGAATGCTGCTCTCATCCCATCTCATTGTGCTTGTGAAGACTAAGAAATTCATTCCGATTACCATCTCCCTAGTTGCTTTGGAAGATAAATTTAGTTGCTCAACAAGCCCTTAAAAAGCTTATGGGGAAGAGAGGGTCACTGGCAAATAGTGACCTTATCCACCTGGGTGATGCAGTATGTGGATGCAGCCTCATTACACAGTAGCTCACACGGAGAAGTAAAAAAAACACTTCAATTTTAAGTGCACTTGCACTTTGAAGCATTCTGGAAAACATCCCAACCCTGAGGGAGGCTGTGGGTGGAGACTGCTGTTTCACAGACTCTGGAATGTAATCATAGTAGGAGCAAACACATTCTAAACAAGTGAATGTGTTTGGCACACAGTTAACCTAAATCATGGTCCCACGACATGCTCATTATAGAAGGTAGATTCAATTCCCAAGCTTAAGTAGTTCAGGTGAAGAAATCGGAATAGCTCAAACCTGGTACTAAATCGAAAGAGGATTTCTAGGTCTCCAGTCTGGCGCAATCTGCAGGTTTGCAAAACTAATGCCTCTAAGAAAGGATAAATGTAACACTTCCAGAATACATAATTTCATATAGCAGGCACTCGATGTGGATTCTTCCAACTCAAGAATGTCGTATGTTGCCCCATTATATTAAGATTTTAAATTTAACGCTTCAGTTAAGTAGGTATGCGAGTACTTGTAAAAATAAGCCACACTTCATAGCAGAGATTTATTATACTATGTGTGTATATATATACACACACACTTACATGTGCTTTGTAATTGAGTTTTGGCACATTGACAAGGGTTGGCTTGTAATGTGATGATGGCTAATTTTCCATCTCCTGTGAAACTTATCACATGGGTGACTTGACGAGACTGTGTTGAATACTCCACAGTGGCATAAACAAGCAGTTTAACTTGCTGAGTCTTACAATTTTTTTTACGCTTCACATGGTTAATTTTACTTGCAGCAAAATAAATAAAAAACACGAAGGAATTTAACCTCCCAGAATCTTGAACAGAGAAGACTTATAGGATCTGATATTAGGTTCAAAGTCCTCAAAAAAAAAAAGACAGCAGACTACTTCACAATAAAAAAAATCAAAACATTTGACTGGGGGCACAAGTTGAAACTACATCAAAGTGTGTTTAAATCCAAGCTTTTTTACCCAATGAGTTGTAGGAGGATGGAACAAAGTCCCTGTCATGTTAAAGCCGATACCCTGGCTTTTCTCGAGACACATCAGGAAGAGATCCTCCAGCCAGGACAGGAGGCCGTTCTTTACACAAAGGGTGGTGGGAGAGTGGAACAAGCCACCCAGGCTTGCTAAAACCAGTATCCTGGCTTCATGAAATACCTGGGTGCGATCCTTGGATCGGTTAACTACTATCAAATGGGGCTAGAAATGGGCTCTCTCGTTTCTAATAGGGTCATATGTACATCCTGCTTGGTCACGTTCAGTACTGCAGTAGCTCTCGTCATTGGACACAACGCATATTCTAAATACAGGAGTGTCCCCTTAACCAAAGTAAAGAGGGGTGTGGTAAAACACCACAAAGCTTCATCACCCACCTCTCGGCAGGCTGCTAGTACACTGTACATATTTGTTTGCCCCTGTTAATCTAGGTCACTAAAGAAAATCGGCCTTTAAATAAATCTGGGCTGGTAGAATAACATTCCCATTAAACTAAAGCAGCCATTTCACCCTGCAACTCACAACTGGCAGCCCACTGAAGCTGGTCAGTACCTGAATGGGAGACCTCCTGGGAAAAGCTAAGGTTGCTGCTGGAAGAGGTGTTAGTGGGGCCAGCAGGGGGCGCTCACCCTGCGGTCCATGTGGGTCCTAATGCCCCAGTATAGTGACGGGGACACTATACTGTAAACAGGCGCCGTCCTTTGGCTGAGACGTAAAACAGAGGTCCTGACTTTCTGTGGTCATTAAAAATCCCAGGGTGTTTCTCGAAAAGAGTAGGCTTTAATCCAGTAGAAATCTCTCAATTTGGAGATGGTTTTATCGACAAATACGACTTGTTTACTCTGCATGCAGATCACGCAGCGGTGAAACATCTGCTGCACAACCTGTACTTATTCGCTCATCCATCACAGTCCATCAGTCAGTACGGGGACTAGTGAGCAGGAAGGGCCGCCTCACGTCACAATTTGGGCAAACTCTCGCTCTCACCCGTGATGAGAGCGGGGCTTTGTGACAACATGAAGACTTACTGTACTTTCACATATTTCAAAATGTTGTGCTTCATTCAGAACACCGAAAGTTTAGGACACCTTCAATTAAATTATTGTTACCAAGATTTAATAATGGAGAAATTAGGACTGCACTTCCCCTTTAACATAATTGCTGTTTGTCATCAACTGTTTCCCTACTAATCTGCAATAGCTCTTGCTTTACTTTTAAAATTCATATTAAAAGTAGCTCCCAGCATCTGGCATTTTACACGGGCGTCTGCATGTTGCCAGTTCATTAACTCTGGAGATTATTTTTTTAGCTAAATCTAATGCACCTATACCTCAGCTAGGATTCTTTGCTGTAGTTCCAGAATGCAAGTACAATAATAGCTGTGACCCCCTGTATACTCTTGAGCACATTACTCATTTCACAGCCTAGTCCTGAAATGAAGAATGTATGATCTTTTAAAAGTTTGGTTTCAGGAAGTGGGTGAGTAACAGTGTGATTGTTACACCATTACTTAAGACCAGCTTCTGTTTTTCTCTACTTTAAGTACTTCATAACTTCCTAGAACTGCTCTTATTCTCTCTGCTCTTGGTATGTGGATTGAAAGCTGCTTGTCTTTGGTCTCAAAGTCAGTGGTTTTCAAACTGTGGTACACCAGTGGTATGAGGAGCACCCCCTGATGGTATGCCAGATGACCCTGGAAATTTGTTGTGTGCACCAAAAAATTGGGAATAAAAAATAAAATGTAAAATTATGTACATTTTTCACCAGTAATTTACTTAATTAGTTTCAGAAAGCATGAGACGGGGCTTTCTATTTGAATAAAATTAGTTTGTCAAATACACAGCCTATGTACGCTGATACATTGCAGGCGAATACTTGAGTGTTCATACTCCTCTCAAGCTTGCAGAGACGCAGCTTAGTGCCACATTCACCAACAGAACAAATGATTGAAAATGAATACCTCGCAAAAATCAAGTATTATGTCATGGCTAAAAGGAATAGACGCCAAGAGTACCAACACCAGCTCCGATAGATCACGCATACCTCTCGAGAACGAGGAGGATTATACATCGGCCACCGATACTAGCTCTGCTGCTGAACCTGACACAGACAGCACTGCTGGTATTGGCAAGCGTAGGAAAACGGCTACAAGACGGCTCAATCCAATTTAACTAAGTGCTCAGTGCTATTTTTGTGTGTGTGTGCATGCATGCTCATGTTGGTCATTGAGATTTTCTGGGGTTCCTATGAGAAGATGACTTGTAGGTGGTACTTGGATGCTTTGTTTTGATCAGGGGTGGTACTTGGTCCAAACAGTTTGAGAACCACTGGTTTCAGTTTTTTAGCTAAATCTTATGCACTGTAAGGTGTGTACCTATACCTCAGCTAGGATTCTTTGCTGTAGTTCCAGAATGCAAGTACAATAATACTGTAGCTGTGATCCCCCCTGTATACTCTTAAGCAACATTCTTAATTCCGGGGAATATGCTGTGAAATGAATAATGTATGATGTTTTAAATGTTTGGCTTCAGAGGTGGGTGAGTAAGTGTGATTGTTGCACCATTCCTTAAGATCAGTTTCTGTTTTACTTTCTTCACTGATTAAACTGAAAGCTTATAGTTTAGTATTATTATTCGCAAAGCTTATTTGGGTTTGTGCAAATACAATAGAACTGAAAGTACTTTGTGAGTACAATATTCCTCAAGAGTTGTAAAGTGAGTTTTGAAAAGAAGGGGATGATTAGGACTGTTGGGATTGTTTTGTTTTGACGGGTTTATACTTAAAACTACTGTATGAAATAAGCCACATGAATGTTATCTGTGGTCAGCTTAGGTTTTTAGAAACCCTTTTTTGATCAAGAATAGCAGTACGTCTCGCGTAGATAAGCGAGTTGCAAATTGTTTTTGGAACACCCGACCACACTTGGCTCTGGTCTAACTGAAACTGCTACATGACCGCATTTGCACCCCAGATATTGTCTAGATAGAGATTAGTATCGCTGCCTCGCTGTGCTGGGACATTAGGTTCGAGTACTAGGGTGCTCCTGGCATGGAGATTGGATGTTCTCCTTGCGTTTGCATGGGTTTCTGCCAAGAACTCTGGTCTCTCTTTACATTCCAAAGACATGCTGGCAGGTTAATTAGTTTCTGGGAAAATTAACCATGGTGTGCGTTTGTGCCCTGTGATGGACTGGTGTCCCGTCCAGGGTGTAACCTGCCTTGAGCCTGTTGCTTGGATTGATAGGTTCCGACTTCTCCTGCAACACTGTACAGGATAAGCAGACTAGAGGATGTATGGATATTATCTAGATAACCGGTTACAGTTATACACTGCATCACCACTGCAAAATTTTCTTTGTGATGATCTAAAACTCATAGAGTACCGAGCTATGAAAGAACTTCAAAAGATAAGAGCTGTATTTGTCAGAACAGCTTGTTTCCAATTTCAGTCTACTAGGTAAGTAGACTTGCCAGTTTACGAATGAACACACTTGATATTCATGGGTTGGTATCAGAACCGACTTAAATAACTAATTGTTACTAGACAACGTCAACATCTATAATGATCAGCAATCTCCAAACATAATGGTACAACCCAAACAAAAGTTTTAGATTTATTCTAACTCAGATCTTGAAAGCTTAGCGTCATTTCCTTTATTGAAAGGCATCAACCTGTACTTTTTTTAACATACTGGAAGTAATAACCACTGTAATACACGTTATTACTTCTTAAGCATGCATATCAAATACAATAGTGATATAAACAGGTTTATTACAAAAATGGTAAGTTGCCATCACAGGCATTAAACTGATTATACTGAAACTGACTTCTTGTGCTATAATATACTTGAGAAACCAACATTTCTTTATACCGATCAGAATTAATTCCGGGTGCTTTCTTTAAACAATACGTGTTAAGGCGTAATGACTCCTTGGGGTCCATACTGTTTTTTGGGGCAATACGTGTTACTAGAGCTCTGCGTCAGATATCATTTCACCTCTGATCCATTAAAGACAAGAAAGTACACTCTATGAAAGGGCACTGTATGAATACAGACAGAGAGGAAGGTGAGAAACTGGGAACTGTGATGGCTCAACAGTGAGTTCAAATAGACAGCTGATGCCTTCAGAGACCAGAAACATTTATTTTTCCTTTTCTGATGGAAGGCTTAAGGAGGTTTTCAATATCAACCCTCTGAACCCTGAGTGCCACAGATTTCTTGTCAACAGTAAGGGCATTACCCAATTCATCATCATGCCATCTATAGCAGCATTTTTTTCTAGGTTGTACATTGTCAGGACATCATCACTTTGATCATTTTAGTCACAGGCTCTAGAAAAGGAGCTCAATGCTGCAGAAAAAAAAAGACAAGATGAGATACTCTTCGGTTTAAGAGGGGAGTCAGGGAAGATGGAGTTCTTTAATTACACAGACCTGCAAAAGGAGTCTTGATCACCTCTGGCTAACTTCTCCTTTGTTTGTTTCTACCCAGGGGTCTACATCCTGATCGGAGCCGGTGCTCTCATGATGATCGTGGGCTTTCTGGGGTGCTGCGGTGCAATTCAAGAATCCCCCTGTATGCTCGGCCTGGTCAGTATCGCTTTTATATGCACCCCATTTGATACAAAAGGTCCTGTCACAGCATTTAGCCTGGCTCTTTCAAAAGTTCAGGAAGTGGCATTTCAAATAACATATCTATTTTCACACAGGAACACTTTGTTTTTGAAATGAGTGAAAGTGAAACAAACACCAAACTTGGATCACTATTATACCACTGCAAAAAAGGGGGGGGGAGGGGGGGAGGGAATACTGTTTTACCTCATTTAATTCTGTATAGGTTGGTACTAGTTTTCCTGAACAATTTCACAGTCTCACAGTTACAAGGGACATCCAGCTGGGAAAACTCTCCAGTCCCTTTTTGAACTGTTCTTACTCTTCATTTTAATTCCACCTTACACTGTAAAACACTTCTAGAGCCTTACTTGATGCTAAAGGTATTGTGAGGTGCCTGACTACAGTTCCTCAGCAGTGTGGAGCAGTGGTCAGGATTGTGCATTGAAACCCCATGAAATTGCTTTTTACCCTGGGGTAAGGTACTTGACCAAAACTGTAAGTAAAAAAAGTAAAATAGCCGGCTGGTAATAATTGCTATAAGCAAATCTCTACAGTTTTAGAACTACTTGCAACTTTTTTTTTTTAACCTACCTTCCCATCAGTAATTAAAAATACTCTGGTGACCAAACTTGTACAGGTTTATTTAACAAGAAAAAAACACATTACGTCTCACGTAACGATATAATCAAACTTCAATTGACTTGTTTTCAATGGTGGTAAAAGCCATTTACTGTTATTCTGTGACACTTGCAAATGCTGCGCAGGGATTTTGTCTTTCATCACGCACATGTGATCTGGAACATGGGCTGGTAACCCCTGTAAGTCAATCTGAAAAAGGCTCAATAAGGTGGTAACAATCTTTTACTGCTACTCCTCCTTTCACATGATCAAACAGACAGTGTAACGCAACCGTGCTTGAGCTGGCGAATCACCTGCTGCAGCAAGGGTACCAGCCAACAGGCACAAGGCGGGATACACCCTGGACATGACGCCAGTCCATTAAAGGGCAGAGGGACTCACACAAACACACATCTGGGCCAGAGGACCTGGAGGAAAACCGAGCAAACGCGGGAAGGACATGCAAACTCCACACAGACAGCATCCCAAGCCTGGAATTGAACCTAGGGCCCCAGCACGGCAAGGCAGCAATGCTGACTGCTGCATCATCATG